TTTGAAAAAAAACAGATCTGGCTACAAAAAGGACCAACCGTCCTGCAGGAAATTCCAAGTGTTCAAGATTTTATTACATTCCAAATTGGAACAACACCTTAAACCTCAGAACTTAATGAGAATGGGAATATTCTGATTTGGGAACATAGTCGTAGAGCCAGGCCTCTCCATCTACCAACACAACTCGGGGAAAGGGACACAGCCAGCTGACAGCGGGTGGGGAGGATGGTAATCTGGATCCAGGCTCACAAAGGAAAGTCTGATTTGGAGCCAGGAGGACACCTAGAGCAGCTGAGGGATTTAGGAAAGCCAGGAAGCCTGTATCCCAAAGGGGCATGGAGTCTGGAGAGCCATGATGCCCACACTGCCTACCAGACAAAAGGGTCTGCAAAACTTGAAGCCAGAGGCCACCATAAGCTTTTCACCTGGAAGCAGGACCTGCTAAGGTCCCACCAGGCTCTGAAGCTGCCTCTACCATCAAGCCAGGCACCAGGCAGAAGTCAGATCCCATCTGGCAGGTGGAGGAGTTGAGAGGCATGACTCTTTCGCTTTGCATGAGAACTTAGTCAGGATCCTCTTGTTCTTCAGAGGTCCAAACTTTCTTACAGAAAAGGTGTCCTGTTAGAACATGTGCTGACAAGTCTCTAGCTCTGAAGAAGAAAGAAACCCCTCTATTAAAACACACAGAATCATCAAATGGCTGCTGCCTGGCAGGAACTGCTCTTAATTCCAGTATTTGTGCTAAGTACATCACTCAGAAATGAATACAAATTAGTAACCAAGTACAGGCAGTATTAAACTAGAAAGTCAAAAGAAACTAAGACCCAAATGTTAGAGACATTGTAAAGCAGTGCTGTTGCTTCTTGCTGCTTTGAGATCTTAGTTTTACATTACTGGCAACCTGAAGTGTTCCAAGATCTTGAGCTGGGCTCTCCAAAAAAAATTTTGACTAAAAATCAGAACAGTTTAAAAAACAACATTTGGCCTCTGTTTTGTTTGCCTTCTAATTTTGGAACTTGTAGTGCTCATGGTTTCAGATTTTCCTGGAAATATGAGAGCTGGAAGTTTACATTTTGAAGAAATGAAAGCTGGCATTTTTGTCATCACATGACTCCAAGAGCTGGGGCTTGAGAGAAAAACATAAAACATTGTCAGGCTTTCTACAAAATTGTGAGATTAGCAGCATTGGTTTTATCACAATTTAGGCTGCAAGGTTGACCTATTTTATCAACAGTGCCCTGCTGAATATGAATTGCTTTATGAATTTTAACAACCATATTTCATTTTAAATATAGTTCCATTAAAGTGACATTTGTCACTGAGCTTCAAAGCGAACTATTCAATCATCAACCTGGGCTAAACTTTTTGTCTGAGCAAGTGGAAGTTGTAAACTACACCAACTTTGCATCCCAGAGACACTCCTCAAGGCAGAACACCTCGTATGCTCATTGCCTGTCCTGGGGACTATCTCAGCATCAAGAAAAAGGAGCATCTAGCCTTCAAGTTTCTTTTGCTCTCTGTCCAACCAACGTGACAGCTACAGAGCCCCAGACTTCACCATGTTATAGAGCAAAGACACTAGGAAGTAGTGTATGGCCTCACAAAAGATGAGGAGGTCACCACGAGATCTCCCTTGAGGCCCTGAAGGGCAGAACTAGATTTAGCCCAAGAACTTGCTGAGCTGCACTTGGTGTCTGCATGCTCTTTCCTCAGCCTGTTTCACAGCTGCAGATCACTACAGAGCTGTTCTGAAACACAACCTGAGATCTTCAAGGCTGTTGATGCACTAGAGTTGACAGAACACGCATTTGTTTCATTTCTGGTAAAATAGCAAGTCTGAGGTTTGCAAAGGAGAAGAGCCCAAATACTCAGCAGGCAGAAATGGTTAAAGTGAAAACCTTTTCAGTAACATACATACAAAGATTAAGCAGAACAGAAAGCATGTGCATGGGAGGGTGCATTCCAAAGTGGCATAAAATAACATGGAGGGAGGCTTAGTTAATTATTCAAAGAAACTCAAACCTCTTCACAAATTAGGTCTAGAATATCCTGAAAAGCAGAAAAATAAAATTATAAACATTTCCCAAAACACAAAATCCTATCTAGATCACATTTTAGCATTTTGAGGTCATACAGATTCTTTAATCTAATCTGCAACTCTTCTCCAGTTTAGTATTATCTCCTTGCTTAACTCTCGATATGAAGCCAAGCTGTTTGTCTTCTGCATTAGTGACACCTCCTTCCTGTTAATTCAGAAAAGATGGACTTGAAATGCCTATTAGAGATTCAAGTGCCAGGTACATTTTTCTAAGCTCAAGTAGCTAACACATCTTTCTTCAGCATCACAGAAGTGGCTAGTTTAATTGAGCTGTAGTTATACTCTGCATTTGCAGTCCTCCAAGGGGGAGAAACATGTCACAGCCTCTCCCTGCTTATGCATTGTGTGTCTATCAGTGACTGTATACTGGGGTAAGGAGAGAAGGAACTGTTTCCAAGTTAGCACACTTAGAAAAAGGAGTCATAAATCATGGGGTCAGTCAGGTTGTGCTTTTTTTTAACCTTAGGGTATTATGTTTTCAATACAATATTTCAATAGCTTTTTTCTGTGTAATAATTTATCTGGAATTACGGCAACTCTTGCAAGCTTAGAAAAAATTGGCTCAAGTAAAATGAATCCTTTGCCATAAATAGGTTGTGTTCATAACTGCAGCCTAATCATTCAGTTGCACGTAAGTCAAATAGCTATCCAGACTTTGTAGGAATATTTCCCTGTCAATAAATCTAATGCTATTTAAAAACTCTGAGCCAATGTGACAGAAGCCTGTTAGATTAATTAGGGCAAGGTCATAAAAGCTGAACTCACATCTACATTCATGTCAGTTTTGTTCCACCTACCATAACCTGACTGTAAACTCACAGACTGTTTTAAACATGGGCATGTTAAGGTGACTTCATTGTCTTCATTTGTACACAAAGGAAGATTTCTTCAGGAATTGTTTCTTCTAACAGTCAACTAAGCATGCGATTGCTTACTTGAAGAAACGTTTTGCTTTGTATTCACTGTCAATAAGGATTTTCTTAGTTTTAAACCTTTTTTCCTGTCAGTGACTTCACAGTGATTGGACTACATTCAGGGTTTGTGAAACTTCAGGACCATGCAGACCACAGAACTGTCAAGAGGCAGGCAGTAAAATCAAAATCTCCCCACAAACTGATCATCTCTGTGGGAGTGAGAGGACGGTATTGTCTCTCTGCCTGTTCAATTCTTGACCTTTACCATGTGACTATCCAAAAGAAGGGTGTCCCAAATCTGATGGGTTTTGTGTGAAGTGGACCCTGTAGGTGAAATTCTGACCTTAGCAGGGTCAGTATTTCATTCAAAATCCCTTGAGACAGATCTCCAAATCATTTCTTAGGTTTGCAGCTTGTATCAGATGGTAGCTAGCTGACTTTCATTTACTACTGACTCAGGTCAAACTTGGACCAGGGATCAAGAGATGAAAGGCTTTATGTCTCATTATCAATAATCAGTGTTCTCTACTACCCTAAAAACGACATACTTCATTCTTATCTACAAGGCCTTAAAACTTAAAAGGGTTGGGGTCAAATTATGTTACTTCCATTTATTTTCATTCACTACTTATGAAAAAACTTCCTCTCTCACTGCCACAGCTAAATGCTAAAAATGTAAATACTTTCCTTGATATTGCAGAGGTTCTATTATCGTTTTTCTTTTAAGGTCTTATTACACATACAGCAAGAAAAAAATCCTTGCCATATACAAATTTAAAGAATAAAATCCTACAAAAAACAACCCCCCAAAAAACACCCAGAGGCCAAGACTAAGCCAGGCTTTATCCATCTCAAAATTATTTTCAGTAAAGCACATCTTGTATAGAAGTTGCCTTATAACAGAAGGGTGGAGCTTCCCCAGAAGTTTTCCATAGTTACGCAAGTCCTGATACTGACAGAATATCCTCCGAAACTATAGAGGAGGTTTTTCTTCTAGCGTGAAGCCATACAACTCCTCTGATTTTGCTGGAATTAAGTTTTTCTTAGATGAGTTATAGGTATTTAGGCGATTAATTCTGAAACACTAAAGAGCTGGTCTGGAAAGAAAATCTGCTGTTACTGAACTAACAGAACATAACATCCACTTCCACAGCAACTTGCACTGCTCTACACATAACTGCATACTTAAACAGCCAGAGATTTTACTGTGATTCTAGATACCTGTGAAATGTCAAATCCCTCCTTTGTTATCCTGTGAAACCTTCACGGGCAAACTAATCTGCATTATTCCCCAAGCAGGGGCATGCATATATACACATGGAAGAAAAGTGATGAAAACAGTCAATGGCATGAAAGAAACTTCTGAATAATTTAAGGCAAAAAGAGGTTAAATCAAGTTTACTAGTTATGCTGGGTTAACAACTTTTTTTCTACGACTAGGAATAAACCTGCAGATATCTAGGACCTACACAGTTGTTCTCCTAAACCTAAGCAACATTTTGACCAGTTTCTCATTTAGACAATACTTCACCCAAAGAACTGAAAACTTCCAGACTTTCAACACCTGGGGCAGCAGGAAGGAGGTGCACTTGATTACAGATCACTGAAGAGAACTGCTTCCACAAAACTTCAAAGAACAGTCGTAGGAGACCCATTCCAATCCAACTCTTTCTGGCAACACTTTTGCCACTCCTAAGTCTATAGCTGAAAGAGGATTTGGTCCTGCAAACTCTTGCTCACATGGCCAGTTCCCCTCACATCTGGGTCCTGATCCTACAGGAGCTGTGTTATCATGAAATGCCTTCCAAGAAACTGACCTTTTTTGCTTAATGACAGATAACATCTTCGTGTGTTTCCACAAGTAAGATGTGAGCCATCTGCAGAGATTCTTAAAGAAACTATGACAATAATGGCTGAGGGAAAGCGTGGGGAAATGAAAGGAGAAAAAGAGATATAAGAGGGGCATGGGTGGAAACGCGGTCTCTGACCTGGATCTGTTGCTGAAGAAGGTTAATTTTGTGTTGCTGCTGCAGGAGCTGCTGCTGTTGTCTTGCGATCTGTGAAGAAATTGCACAGAAGATATGTGAGATATGTATCATCATTCCTGGAGTCGGTACATAGGAAACTTCCACTCTGGCTCTTTAAAATGCTCTGTTAAGCTAAGAAACCTTTGACTGTGGGTAACAGCAGCCTGGACAGCTGTTGAAGCAAGGGGCTTATGTTCAGGAACAATTCATAGCTAATACTAGTGTGAAAGGAAATCTTACGGAAAATGTTGTGCTGGATAGCAAGAGAGGGACTGATGCAAAAATGTCCTCTCTCACTATCTGAAATGGTACTGCTAAAATCCCCCAAAAGTGAGCACTGATTTGCTCCAACTTGCTGGAGAAAGAACAATGATGGCAGAGAAAATGGAAAATAGTAGGAAAAGACAGGAAAGGCAAAGTAAGTAGGATGGACAGCAATATCCTTTTTATGTTTGGCATTACTTATTCAAAAAATAAAAAAAGTAAAGAAAAAAAGGAAATCTGACATTCAGGAGGAAAGTGTTAGTGTGTGTATTTCCTTCACACAGAAACACACAAAGAGACTGGGTTTGGGACACAAGGAACTGTGTTTTGGGAAAATCGCTAAAAGGGAATAAGGAGGCAGTGCAAGGCTACACAGCTCAACACTCAAACTGATTTGCAGAAGCTGATGGAGTCATCATTATGTCTCCTCTCAAAGTCATGTGTGTTTCCCATAAGGACTTCCATCCTTCCACTCCATTGACTAAAAGATTGGGAACCTTACTGTAGATACATTTTATATACAGTAATGGAACCAAATTAAGAGTTCTTAGAGAACTGATGGAGATAAGCCATTATATACCTCAAACTTGAAAAGCAAACTTGAAAAACTTTTGTTTAAGCCGTAACAAAGGCTCTGCTCTCAGGAACAGCTAGCACAGCAGTACAAACATTAAACTGAGTATTGCTCTTCCCCTGTGGTATGTGTACACATCGCAGGGTCAGATGGGAACTTACACATACTTACTGGGAGGAATTTTGTGCATTCTTCCCCTTAGGTATTTTCTTTCACTGCTATTATTAAACTATTAGCATAACACTCACTCACAGTTAGTCTCACATCCAAAAGATTAAATAAGGGTTTTCTTTCTACAGCCTCTCTTTAAGCAAGCAAACATTTTTTTCAATACTTTTTTTTTTAAAGTTTGGTTATTATAATTTCTATATAACACAGAATTTCTTGAATTAAAAGAAATCCTTCAGGATTTCTAACTGCCTTTTTCCATTCTCTCCATTTTCTTTTTCACTTTCAGATCATCCAGCCATCCTATAGCAATAGCGACTTTAAAAGGTAGGGCAAGGGAAATAGCTCCTGCAGGATGTCTCTTGTGCAAGAATCTCAGCAGTTCCACCTTCACACCTTCATCTACCTTCTCCATGCAAACAGAAGTGTGATACAAATTCTCTAGTTTAATAGATAAGCCACTTCTCCTGTTCTCCCTATGTGCTATTTCAGGTGTGAAGCCAAAATACACAGTATTTAAGATCAGGTTTTTAAATAATCCAAACCAGGGAAAACCAAGGCTAAAATGTCTGAGTGGATTAAAAACTTCAGACTTGCTTGGTACAACATAACCACTGAAGTATAACAATTACAACAGATTTCAAAGAATTCTGTGAGCTTAATAAAATTCACATAACTGCAATTCTATGGTATAAACTCAAATTTCATTACAAGCTGAAATTAAGGGTCAGGCAGACCAAAATGCTTTCAGATAAGAAGTACCAGGATGGACTTTTCACAAAATTTTAAACCAGATGTCTATTCTCTGCTCATGTTGAGGCACAAAAACGGACATTCATTTCTGTTAAAACTTGCATGGCATAGACTTATAAGAAAAGTTATGTTCTTGTATAAAATGTTATGTATCCATGTGTGCACACTGGAACTGTTCACATGTAAAAACATTTGCATTTTCAGTGGAAGGCATATCTGCAAGAGCTGAAAATCAAGCCTCTTGCATGTAGAAGAAAAAAGTCACACTTGTTCACTGACTTTATATTCTTCCCCCCCACTTTTTTTCCAGAGTTGGCAAAACCGGCATTTCATTTCTCACATTACAATCCAAGTGCTGCATTTTGTTCCTTTTATACCTGTTCAGCATCACTGAATTCAAGCAACACTGAAAGGTTATTCAGGAGGGATAAATTTGCATGCTCATTTGCGCTTATTAAAAAAAAAAAAAAAAATTGGAAGAGAAGAGCTCCAAAATGGAAGGTCTATCTTTATAAAACAAAGAGCATAATTTTATATATTGCAAACTAAAGCATTCTTCCAATCAGTTTTTGTTCAAACTTCTTCACCTAAAAAAATAAATGGGAAAAAAAATTTGGGTGGAGAGCAAACTTGATAGTATCAGCCCTAAAAGATAAACTACTGGGAAGAAAATTATTTAAGCTGAAAGCCACTCTAATAATCACTCACCTGTTCTTGCTGCTGCTTAGCCAGCTCCATTTGTTGGCGTTGTTTCTCAATCTGTGATGCAGCCAGTTTCTTCTGTTCATCATGAGCTGCTAGCAGCTGTTCTCGCAAACTGGTCAGCTGATTGATCATACCCATGAGCTGCCTTTCTTTCTCAGCGAGGCTTTCTGGAGTCCCTGGGCATCATATGGTGAAAAGAGAAAAAAAAAAAAATGGTAAAGAGAGGAAATTTAGAGGTAGCCAGGTTTTTATTCTGCAGCTTCACCATAAGCAAAGTTTTATTAGAACCAAAATACAGCAGCATACTGCAAGACACTGTGCATTAAGACCTGTCCCTCTACAGGAAACTGAGCCATGGAGGATAATTCTGTACACAGGCTCTGATCTGGTGCTGCCCTTCAATGCTGCTTTGACCCTTCATCTATTTTTTTTTGCCTTTTTATCAGATTAATGGGGGGGGGGGGGGGGGGAGGGAATCCTGCCTCTTTTGTAAGAGTTTCAAATTTTAAACATTGTTTACCTTTCATGGGGATCAAAATCAACACTTCCTGCTTTGAAAAGCAATTACACTTTTGTCAGAAACTGATGACAAAGACTCATCAATGCTTTTGATGCCTACAGAAACTGTAAGGTGTGTATTAACATCAATCAAGGGGAAGAAGAGAAGTCTCCCGAGTACAGAATAACTCTCCCGCTCCCTACGCCCAGCCTTCTCACTGTTACCAGCACAGCACACAACAGCTGTCAGGACGCTCACTACCTGCTATATCATCTACAGCTGCCCTGATTAGGATAAAATTATATAGTATTTGAATTGCCAATAACTACTATGGCTGTTGCTGCCACTGCTGAGTATTTTTAAAGGAAAAAGCCTGGCATAAACATACCAGAAAAACTGAGTTAAACACAACTCATCTCCTCTCTCATTTGTACAATCATTAGATGGTTTTTACAGGAGAGTTCAGCAGACAGAGTAACTGACTACCTCGCTCTCATAATCACGCTGTAAAAAATTCTCCTTCTACCCAGAAGGACAGTGGTTGCAAGGGAAGGGAAGAAAAAATTCCAGGAAAAATCAATGAGCTATGAATCATACACTAGAACAAAAAATGGCACTGTTAGTATATCCAGGATCATTTGATTTTGAATTTATAAAACCAGAAAGTATGTCTAGCAGCTAATCCACAGATACCTCCAATACCACCACACCCTCTCACATGAGTCAGATCCTATGAAACCCTTTCTAAAAAAGCTTTAGGGAAGGATTCAGGCTGTCAGTGTCTATTCCTCCTCTGAAAATAGCCTGCTTTTGGGACAACCCTGCCACACAAACCTTTCTCTAACACAGGAAGCATTCTTCTGCCAATGTCACCAGTGCTCTCCAAGTGAAAAAAAAAGGAAAAAAAAGAGAAAAATTGGCGACCACACTAAACATCTTCCTAGCCAACTATCAGTCAGACATGAAAAAGAGCTACTGGTAATAGCTCATTTAGTCTACCCCCCTGCCAGTGCAGGAATGTTCCCTACAATATATTTACTACAGCTTTCTAGATTGGATTGAAATGTCTGAAATGGTGAATCATCTACTGCTTTCTTTGGAAGACTGTACCATAGCCTTAGAGGTGGCAATGTTAGGGCTCTCTGCTTGATACTTTAATTTACATTCAATTAATTTCAACCTTGCACTCCCAAGCAACATCCCATTTGCTATTTTAGCCAAGCCGAAGCCCTTAAGTCCATTTATAGACAGCCATATACAAGTAGGAAAACACAAAGAATCAGTATTTTCACATAAAGGAAATGCAACTCAATTAACTTTATATTAAGATGCTAGAGATTTATGTGAAAACGTTCTCACCATATAACAAAGAACTACAACAGAATATTCTCAGATACAGTATCAAAAATAAAACCTGAGGTACAAGCTGGAAACTTGAGAAACACACTGAAACAGAACTTTAAACCTGTTCTGTTAAAAGCTGTGAGAAAGAATGGAAGATAGTGCTAAAATATTAACACTGCTGAAGAAAACACTTTTAACTTAGATTTTTATTTCAGACATTGGAGACACAGAACTGCTACAAGTAGTGCATTTGCCACCTGGCCATACAATTAACCAAAAATATCTATGCCACTCTTCCACGCTTCCTTTGTTTTTCCCTAGGAAGAAGGGTGAGGTGTTTCCAAGTGGCATAGAAGAATTACTGTAGAAGGCAGTCTCTTCCTTGTCCTGTCTGTGGTTAGCATGGTGGTTCACTGTAATGTTCCCCTAATGAAGACTATCAGTATACTGATACTGGCAGTGTAACATGCAGAGCACACTGAAACATCTGAAAATTAAATATTTACTCAGCAGATATTTTATTCCAAACTTTTAAGAGAAGGAGGGGAGTAAGACTTAGAGAAGGTACACACAGGGCTTAGTCCTAAAGTTAGGGTAAGCAAAAAGAAATCACTGTCAAATGAACTGTTCGACAAATACACTGACACACATCAAAGATCTTCAGCCAGTAATGGTTCATCAGTGTCTTTTGAGCTCCTACAGTAGCTTTCAGTTGGGAATCAAAAAGCACTTTGTAAAGTTAAATTAATCCCTACCACACCTTTGAAAGGCGGAAAAATGTTTCCATATGTGTAAACTGACAGACAAAGGGGTCACAGAGTTACCGACAGCACCAAAAAAAAGAGATGTTGATATCCAGCCCTGCACTGCAAAGCTCAGGCTGTGCCTCTAAAGAGAGCACAGAATATGCCACCGCCCTGACCGCGACACGGATCACCTGCACGCCCGCGGGGCCACCCGCCTAATGCGGCTCCTTAGCCAGTACCATTTACCGAGAGAGGAGCAAAAACCTTCTTCCCCAGGAAAACAACAGCTTTGTTTGAATTGCAGGAATGAGAGCGAAGGCTGGGTGAACTAAAAGCAAGTGGTCAGGGCAATGAAGCACTGCTGCAGGTGCTGGAGGTCAAGGCACACCACAACTGTGCTACTTGGGACAAATCTATCAGACTCAGTTTTTAAAGAAAATTTGAGAGGTCCAAAGGGGATGTGCTTTAAATACTAATTTAGTAAGTAGAATCCATAATTCCCTTAGCTTAAAAAAACTGAGTGGAAAGAGTCTGACAAAAGGCAGCCACCTTGCATTATATTTTGTAAGTAATTTCAGTTTGCTAATAACCCAAAAGGGAGAATTTATCAATGTCAACTTGAAAAAAATATCTGGTGTTGGAGAATAATTTCTGGAAAACATGGCTTAGTAGCTACATTATTTTCATGCGATTAGCCCATCCTTCCAATATTTCAATTCTTTAAGATATCAAGACATCCTTCCAATGATTTCAATTCTTTAAGATATCATTCCTTGCTAACTAAGTACTCAAACAGCCATAATCTCAAGTGGCCTGCACAAAACCAGAGGCAAGAGAGATCAGATGCATAGGTCTACTGGGAGACAGTGAGTTTTGGGGTAGATTTCCCCTTGCTTTACCCACACAGTTGTATAAGCCCCACTGACAATGAACTACAAATAGATTTGAGGTTTCTTGCAGACAACTGGTGGCTTATAAAAGCATGAAGACTAAAAACAAGTACTTGCATGAGACTATCTTGATCATAATGCAAAGCGTGTGCATTTAGGGTAAGTTTGGTATTTTTTATGTTACCCCTATTACCTAGCACACCTTTTGTTTCATGAAAAAGGCCAACAAAACTGCCATTTCACAGCTGCCATTCATAAGTTACTTAGTTTACATAACAAATGAAGGCCAAATGGTACTCGATGCTATTTATTTAATGGTCAGCTGAGGGCAAGAGCTTGGTCGCCACACAAGTACACTCAGTGACAGGAATTTTTTCCGGTGTACTAAAACAAGCTGCAGTTAGAGCACCAGTTGACATTTTTGTATTCCTTTCTAGGTGCTGTAGATTGTGGGCAGGCAAGGATGGTGGACTTCTGTGCTATTAGCATTATTTTCTCTCTGTTAATCCTCATGAGATCTAAACCTTTATTACCATGTGAAGTGTCTTGGCAGCTAAGAGATTTCCATTTTAAGAATCCTGCAGCTTATAGGGCAAAAAGCATCAGTTATTTTAAATAGCTACACCATCAACCTCATAAAGACCGTAGTTTAAATTATACTACTCAGGAATTAATGAACTATCCATATGACTGCTAAGACTGCTAGAATTTGGGATGGGGTGTAAATCTCAGTGAGTAAAAGCCACCAGCCCCAGCAGCTACCTTCAGCCACTTCACTATTAAACTCACTTAGAGCTTCTTTGAGTAGTACAGAGTTGGGAATGGTTCTGAAGGTGGTCTGTACTCTACATGCACTGTCCGTACAGTTGCAGCATGGCTGGGAGAAAGAACAAGTGCCCATTATTGCAGTGTACAACTTGACAGCAACCTAGACTGCTTCACACTGGTATTGAGTGAGGAGCAAAAGGAGAGTGGCTTACATTAATGGCTGCCTCAAAAATTACTCTTAATTATCATGAGATCCACAACAAACAGATATTGCACATTTTATGTTTAACAAATCCTTTAACCACCAAGCCACCTGCCTTTCAGAAGACTGCTGTAGGTGCTCATGCTGTTTTTTCTATATTCCATCACTGCATCAAAGTATACACTACAGGCTGACACAGTGAATGGCCCAAGAAAAAATGCTTTCCAGATGCATCAGTTTATTCTCCATCACCACAAAAAGAGATTCAGAAAGAAAAAAAAAAACCAACATGTTTGTGGATGCAACACCCACAGCAGATGGCAATAAAAGAAGACTCAAATTAGTGGCATTCTGTATCGCCAAACCTAAACTTCATCTCAGATCAACACTATCCATAATAGTGTTTAAGTAGTAAAAGAAATTTACTCAAATGTGAAATAAACTATTACACATTCTTAGTTCTGATTCACAGTCTCAGACTGGCAGTGACAGTAACATTTTAATAAACATTAGAATGAAGACACCAATATGACCAAATGACACACTTAAAGTGAGAAAACGAACAGGAGAAACCTTGGCATATCCACCCAAAACAGAACCAAAGCAAAAAAAAAGGCAGAGAAACCGCTTTTGCGATCAAAACAGTAAATACTTTATTATAATTTATTAGACAGAATGAGAATGTAAATGAGAAATTAGGAAAGCCAATATTTTCTTTAACAGGCAT